CATAGGTAGCTCCACCGAAGGCCCCAGTTGCACCGTCCACATGCGTCGCCACACCTAGTTCGGCTCACCCCGCACACGTTCCGTGGTCCCTATAGGGAGCTCCACCGAAGGCCTCAGTGGTACCGTCCACATGCGCCCGCCACACCCATTTCGGCACACCCCTCACACGCTTCGTGGCCCCATAGGGAGCTCCACCCAAGGCACCGGTGACACCGTCCACATGCGTCCGCCACACCCATTTCGGCACACCTTCTACACGTTTCGTGGCCTCAAAGGGAGCTCCACCGAAGGCCTCAGTGGTACCGTCCACACGCGTCCGCCATACCCATCTCAGAACACCCCTCACACCATTCGTGGCCCCATAAGGAGCTCCACCGAAGGCCCCAGTGGCACCGTCCACATGCGTCCGCCACACCCATTTCGGCACCATTCGCACGTTTCGTGGCCCCATAGGGAGCTCCACCCAAGGCACCGGTGGCACCGTCCACATGCGTCCGCCACACCCATTTCGGCACGCCCCTGCCACGTTTCGTGGCCCCATAGAAGGCTCCATCGAAGGCCCAAGTGTCACCCCTCATGCCTCCGCCACACCCATTTCGGCAAACCCTCACACGTTTCGTGGCCCCACAGGGAGCTTCATCGAAGGCCTCAGTGGTACCGTCCACACGCGTCCGCCACACGCATCTCAGCACACCCCTCACACGTTTCGTGGCCCCATAAGGAGCTCCACCGAAGGCCCCAGTGGCACCGTCCACATGCATCCGCCACACCCATTTCGGCACAGCCCTCACACGTTTCGTGGCCCCATATGGAGCTCCACCGAAGATGATACTCACGACTGCGGTGCTCACAGCTGCGTATGGTTGGGTCCTTCGCCAGGCTAGTTTTCTCCGCGAGGATCACCGGGGAGATCCTGAACCATCTTGCGAAGGGTACGTCCACGAAACCGAAACATGCACGGGGAATGAACGTCCGAGCGATGGTAAGAACAGCTTCAGCAGGCGCAGGGAGATCAGCAGCAGGAATCGGGTGTGCAGCAACTGTGGCAGGTACTCCAACATCGGCGCCTACCCCAGGCCGCTCACGCGCAGGTTCTCCGACGCGAGCCTCCGCTGCACAACTCAGCAACCCACGTGGCTCTGCCAGCGTGCCCTTCCCCTGCGTGACTTCTAGACGAAGTTCGACCTCGTCGTGCGCTACTCCCCGATGAGGGTGGTGGTAGCTGGAGCGTGCCCAGGAGAGCATGATCAGCAACTCCACGTGCCGCTCTATGCTATGCAGGCGCTGGTCCTGGTCACGCCGTTTGCGCGCAGGCCCCCTGGAACAGGGCCCCCTGGGCCTGGGAGTCCTGGGCGCCGCTTCGAGGGGGGGGGGGGGGGACGGGGCGCCGCGGGACGACGCGGCCAGGCCTACAAGAGGCTGGCCGAGCGCGTCACGAAGCTCGCCATACGCGCCGCCCGCCCCGCTGCCTTTCCGCTCGGGTGTTGCTATCCAGGGGGAGTCAATCACCCAGACCCCGACACTTGGCGTTTCCTGAGCGGCCCTGGGCCTCTACGAAGCAGTCCTGCCCTGGTCGATTCCTTCCTTGGGTACGTTTACTACACGGCTTCGCTTGTCGGGGAGCTTATTCTGGGGGTGGATGTTCTGCCCTCTATGCTAGAAGTGCCCCTGGCCCAAGGCACCCCCAGGATTTCAAAGGACGCCCTCACGGCTTCCAGAGCACTCACGAGGCCCATATGGGGGCCCAGGGACTCCAGAGTGGAGCATTCTTGGAGGAGTGGCTTCCAGCATAGCGCTGGTGACATGTTTGTCTGTGTCTTCCCTAGGGCCGTCTATGGTGCCTCGTAGGCCTTTTGGCGGCCTCTGGGGTCGTCGTGGGGTGATCTTTTGGGGCTCTTGGATGCTAGGTGGGCACCCCACCAAAAAAGGAACAACGGCGAGAACTCTAACGTCTTTCATAAACTCCATGTGCTTCGATGAGTTCGGCATCCTGGGCCGGCCAGGGGGGCCTCCAATACGCCTTGGTGTCTAATTCCAGGGCAGCTTCAGGACTGGCCCATGCCGTCTCACGGTTTGTTGGCCCGTTGGCATTGCGAACTGCGCTCCCGAGGCCTCCAGGAGCGTCCCACAACAGAACCCATCACCGCTCAGGAGCCCAGGGAGTTCTGGGAGTCTGGTGCCTGGGGTCCTGAAGGGCAGCTTACACAGGACAGTCAACCCGCATAGTAAGGATGAGCTACTTCCAAGGTTACCTTTGCATCCTTTCCCTTCGGCCCATCCGTGGCCGCTTTCGCTGGCCGCGCCCGCTCGCAAAATGTCGACATGGCCTTCCAAGGCCCTTGCATCCTTATCGTGCGTCCTTATTCTGACGCTTGACCGCGTTCTATACTGAGACCTCGGAGGGGCATGATAACACTCCACTCAGTGACTCCGGGCACGGCGGCGGGCACTCATTGCTCCGTACTCTTGCCTTGTTGTTGTTTACATTGGCCACGCTCTGCAAATTCTCAGCATGAGGCTGAACATTACAGATGCCAGCCTGTGTGTTGTTACTGATTTCGGTGGCATCTTTGTTTTTTAATGTCTTATTGGATTTCTTAATCAGCCTGTGACCGATTCAATCCCGATATTATTCATGCGCGCATATCGATGTTGGATTGTTCGGCCACGTGTGCGGTCTGCAGTTGCCTTTCTCATCGGCCATTGCGTGCCTCGATTCGAAAGTCATGGGGTTGTCGGTTGGCCCATGGGCTTGCCTGGGCTGTTGTCGCCTTCTGATCAATTCACATATTCCACCGCATATGATCTTTCCGAGCACTGGCACTATGTTTTCCACTTGCGTTTTCCACGTTCAATACCCATGTGTATGTTGGTCTCTCTCTCTCTCTCTCTCCCTCTGTCTCTCCCTCCCGCCCTGTCGCTTTGAATGACGCTTGCCTCTACCTGCCCCTGTTGCTTCTAAAATCGCCTGTGTATTGTTTTGTTTTTTCCGAGTGGCGCGCTCCCCAGATTTTAGCTTGCACCACAGGCGCCAAGTACGACAACGGTTGGTTCGAGACGGTGTTGGAGATCATGGAGAGGTACGGCAAGAAAATGGAGGTCCAAGACAAGAAAGAGCCCCAACCCGCATTCCGGGCGAGGAGAAAGGGGAGGCACGGCTGAAGGGAGAGAGAGAGGGGGCGAGGAGGAAGAAATGTTTGAAGACGAGGAAGGCAGGGTGCAGTCACATTCGCGGTACGTTCCAAGGTTTTTGGGTTTCCGTTGGTTCCGCGAAGATTCCAGAGGCGAGGACCGCCAGATTTAGATTTTGTGATCTTATTGGAGAGGGTCCTGAGCACATAATCTCATGACATCATTCTAATAACAAGGAACTTCCCCCAGTCGACAATTTCGGGACTCCAGAGGAGGTTAGGACAGGGTCAGCCAGGCTTCGGAGATTGGAGGTGGCGTTGCGGGAACACGCGATCGAGGGTTCAGAACGGAGTGGTTGCAATAATTCAATGGTGAAGACGTCACCGTTCTATGATCAGCCATTGGACCTACGCTCGAGCACGATTGAATGTCTTGCCCTGCGCTGTGTCAATCACAACCATAGCGCATGCGATGCGTTCGTGATGGCCGGAGTTGCAACTATTTGCGAGAACCTCTTGATTCCACAGGTCAGTCGACAACGGGAGATGCAGGAGGAGAAACCATGACGGAGGAAGGATGAAGGAGGAAGGACGAGCGACGACGGAGGGATGATGCACGAGTGAGTAGGGTGGAGGGAAAGGAGAGGAGGGGCTTTGAGGCGAATGATAGTGAGGAGGAGGAAGAGAAGGAGTAGAATAAGGAGGAGGAGGAGGTGGAGGATGAGGAGGAGGAGGACAGAGGGGCGAGTAGGAGTTACGTAGAGGGGAAACGGAAGGTGTGTGGGTTGAGGAGGCGGACGGTGATGAGCATAACATGGAACATGCAGGGGGGAATTGGATGAGGTGGGCGATGGAGCAGGAGGATGACGAACACGTATATGGAATGAACATAGCGAGTTGCGACGAAGGTAATGATGCTGGTCATGATCATGATATTGTCGAACACGCGTCTGATGGCAATGGGTAACAACTATTGCTGCTGCTGTTGATGACGGCTATGACGACCAAGCTGATGATGTTGATGATGGTGGTGATGTTGATGGTGATGACGGTATCCACTGACGGTGATGATGCTGCTAATGATGATGTTGATGATGGTGGTGACGCTGATGATGATGATGCAGATGATGCTGCTGCGGCTGCCGATGCTGATGCTGAACATGATAATGATGATGATGATGATGATGATGATGATGATGATGATGATGATGATGATGATGATGATGATGATGATGATGATGCTGATAATAATACTGATGATGATGATGATGATGATGGTGGTGATGATGATGAGGATTATGGATGATGGTGATGATGACGATGATGCTGATGCTGATGATTGAGCCGATGCTGATGCTGATGCTGATGCTGATGATGATGATGATGATGATGCTGCTGTTGACGACGATGACGATGACGATGACGATGACGATGACGATGACGACGATGAGGACGATGATACGATGCTGCTGATGGTGATGTGAACAAATCCAGATGGGGAGGTAGGACGAGGTGCAGAGCGAGGCATGAACACGAGGACTCCCAGTCTCGGCGAGGCGCAGCTGCAGCAGAGCTTCCCGATGTGTGGAACACGCGCCAACGACAGCCCCAGAGAACCCCGGACAGCCGCGACGACGATATGACGCGACGGTGGCGATGCCAATCCGCTGCGACAGCGACTGCGACGAAGACGGCGACGCCCAGCAACGGCGGCGGCGACGACCACGGCGACGACCACGGCAACGGCGACGGCGACTCCGACGCCGACGCTGACCCCGACGCCGACGCCGACGAGGACGACGCCGACGACGCCGCTGGTGGCGACGGCGGCGACGACGACGACGACGACGTCGCGCGGGCTGCGGCTGCAGGCCGCTTCGCCCCGGCCCGCCGCGGGCCCCGCGGCGCGGGTGCCGCGATGGCGGCGGCCAGCGCCCCGGCGGCGCGAGGCGCCCCCGCGGCCATCCGGGACGACCCGCAGGGGGACCCGTCGGTGGAGGAGCCCCTGCCTGTGCGGTCGGGGGCGCCGAACCGACCCCTTCGGGGACAGCGATAACGGGGGGATAGGCATAGGGGGGTATACATAGACCCCCGATCGCCCGTTGATCGCCGATGGGGACCCGATAGCCCCACCCCGCCCAGGAAGGTGCGGATTCACTATCTGGGGCGATAGGCCTATCGTCTATCTATCGACGATGTATCGCCGATTCCAGGTCGATGCATCCCCCCTATGCCTATCCACCCTTATCGTTACCCCTCACCCCTAGCAGCTAACCGTCCTCTTCTGTGACGCCCCCCCCCCCTCGCCTCGCCCCAAGACGCGTGTATGCGGCCAGTGGGAAGTGTTTGCAAAGCGAGGGCGACGTCACGGAAGCCGATGGTTTGCTGGGGGCCGGTCAGGCCGCGCCCGATGCGCACGAGGGATCACATCGTCGGGGGGGGGCCACGCGCACCCCAGAACGGACGTACCCTGGAGAGGGGGCCCCAGGGCCCGCCTCAGGGCGTACAACGGCTGCGCTTTGGCGCCCGCCGTGGCCTGGACCGTGGCCGCAGCGACACCTCACTGGCGGGACGCCGCGCCCCTGGGGGGGGTTACGTCCCAACTCGGCCTACGCGCTGGGGGGGGCGGGGGGAGGGGGGAGGGCTTCTTAGAAGCATCCCTGCTTCTTAGAAGGCGCGGTCATCTGCAGTCTACAGATCGCCGGCGCCTTCTAAGTAGCAGCCTCCTTCTAAGAAGCCCTCCCCCCTTCCCCAACCCCCTTGTGCGCGCCGCCAGCCAACATCATCCATCTTGGAACTGTCTGAAAGTCTGAGGTGCCCAGCACCGGTTCCGGCCAGCAGGCAGGCGGGTAGGTCGAGGTGCTGGGTTCGGGGAGGCTTCTGACTTTCTCTGCGGCCCCTGGTGGCCGTTTGCGGGCGGCGGGACCGTGAAAGACGAATCCGTGGCGAAAACCTGTACACGATGGACCCCAGGAGGGGTCGGAGGATCGATCCTGATCGCTTTTGGCTTCGTCCCCCTGCCGCAGCTGCCGCAGCTGCCGCGGCTGCTCCCCTGAGTGAAGGAAGCCCTGATCAGGGCTGGCCATGAGGTCGGCACGAGCGAAATTGCTACGTACGGAGAGGACGGTTACAAAGACCGACAGCAGTTCCTCTTCATTTGAGCAGGGCTCGCGGTCGCTGTCGCCGCAGGCGGTGTCCATGTGAGACAGCAGGCCGCCCCCGCCCGACAGCGGCCGGTGTCGGTGTTGGGCAACATCTGGTGTCGGGCATCGTGCGCGTTTTTCCCGTACCAATTGCGAGCGTCCAAAGGAAGGGTGTTATAACCATGCGGAGATGATTTGGTTTGTTCTTTGGCGCGTAAAGGTTCTTACCCGCCCCCCGGGTAACGGTGACGCTCGTACGATGGTGGGAGTTCAGGTTCCCAGCCACATGTTGGTGCTCGTGCGCATATTCTGGCGATCGCAGCGCACCTGCACCCTGACGTGCTCCACTCCGCCTCAGCGTTACCATTACCCAGGGCCCCCGTCATTCCCCCACCCCCCTGATAGCGACCGGTATTGGAAACAGTATTGTCAGATCTCATGGCCAACTCCTCTTCTTTCGGTAATTACGCCCGCGGGTCTCCCCTTTCGCCCTTGCGCACGAGCCGAAGGCCCCCCGCTTGGACGCCCCCCTCTTTGGACGCCCCGGGCAAGAGTGGATCGAAGGGCGCGGATTAGCGACGGGTTCCACTTCCATACCAGATCGGCGCACTCCGTCGCCAAGGTAGGCGGCACCGGCTCCATGCTTCGCGTGGTACTCTTCCCGATCCGTGGATTTGCCGCCCTCGCGCCGGGTCCACGGACCCGTAATCCATGTTAGCGTGTGCCCTCTTGAGGGTCGAAGCTCGAGGGCATGCTTCCCAGCCATCCTGTGGTGTTGGGTCCTCGTTTTGAAGAGACAGCGCGCCGCGTCCCTCCCACCTCCTCCTCGCCGTGCTCCCTCCTTCCCCTCCTTGCCTCTGCCCTTCGCAAGTATATGTTCCGGCACACCCCTCACACAATTCGTGGCCCCATATGGAGCACCACCGAAGGCCCAACTTCCACCGCTCGCATGCGCCCACCGCACCCATTCTGGCACACCCCTCGCACGTTTCATGACCCCATGGGGCTCTTCACCGACTGCCTCAGTGGCTGCGTTCGCATGCGCCCACCGCGCCCATTTCGGCACACCCCTCGCACGTTTCATGGCCCGATAGGAAGCCCCACCGACGGCCCGAGTGGCTGCGTTCGCATGCGCCCAACGCGTTCATTTTGGCACACCGCTCCCACGCTCCGTGGCCCCATAGGGAGCTCCACCGACGGCCCCAATTGCTGCGTTCGCATGCGCCCACCTCGCCCACTTTGGCACACCCCTCGCACGTTTCGTGGTCCCACCGACGGCCCCAGTGGCTGCGTTCGCATGCTTCCACCGCACCCACTTTGGCACACCTCTCACACGATTCGTGGCCCCATATGGAGCTCCACCGACGGCCCAGTGGCTGCGTTCGCATGCGCCCACCGCGCCCATGTGAGCACATACCTCAAACGCTTTGCGGCCTTATGAGGAGCTCCTCCGAATGCGGTGGATAAAACAGCGATGCTCACAGCTGCATACGTGTTTTTGTTTGTTCGCCAGGTACTTTTTTTGTGTTGTTTTTAATGTCGGGACGCCGACTGGAGACTTGCGGACGCCTGCGGGCATGATTTCAAGGGGCTTCCGCAGAACTCCAGGGTCTCCTTGGGGGGTCAGGGCTTCCCTGACCTCGTCGCATCGTGGGAGCATCAGGACGGACGGTTTTGGGCAATTGTTTGGCTTCCAGGGGCTCTCACAAAGGCCTGGGACTGGCAAAGAACTTGTTGGGATGAGAAGCCAGCCCGTTGGAAGGAGTCCAGGCCTCGTGGGAGCCGCGTTGTGACAAAGCGACGACGTGGGGATGTCTTGGGTCCTCCCGCTGTGCATCCTCGATCCTTTTCCTAGACCCCCGATCCTTTTCTCCTCGATCCTCCCGTCCCTCGCCCCTCCTTCTCGATCGTCGACCCGTCTCCCTCCCTTGCTCCTCGGCCCAACCTCTTTGATCCTGCTGCTGCTGCTGCTCCTCCATCTGCCGTCGATGGGGAGATTCGAGGTTCGAGCATGCAGGCTTTCCGTGTTTGTTGTTGTGGTTGTTGAACATTATTTATTCTAAAGAATAATTATTGTTGGGCCCCCTGGTGCGCGCCCCCCCTGCGCCGCCTAGGCCGCAGCTACATTTTCATCATTTTCGTGAGGAAGCCTCAGAAAAGAGGGTGTGTACAGGATCCGGTTGTTTTGTTGTAATCCGCTTTCCCTTGCAAAAAACAATAGAAAATGACATTTCTTGTTCTAATATAATCAAATTTCAAGAATCCCTTGCAAAAAATAAGGTAAAGTGGACATTCGCGCGCGCAAGACGAAATCCTTCCAAAACCTTAGTGTTCGTAGCGATTTTAACATAAAAACATCAAAAAACCAATGGTTTTTCAACAAAAAAATGTCAAAATTTCATCCCGCGCGCTCTTGCGGATTCGTAGGAAACCCAACACTTTTTAAACATTTCTGTCAAACGGGCTTTTGCGAGCAACTTTTTCGAACTTCTGCAACAACGGTTGCGCACCTGCCAGGGCCATCATCCCTGTCAAATAATACCATGCGGGACACATTCGTTTTTTCTTCGCGCGCGCACGCCGTCGTCGTCGGCCGCGGGGCCCTGAATAGTAGCCACGGTCGTCCGCATGCCACGAAGTGAAGTGTCCGAACGTCATAGGGCGGGAAGCTGGGTGTGGGTGGTGGCGAAGAGTCGTTTGGAAATTTGGTAGAGCTTGAACCGGCCCCCCCACAAAGTGGGGGTATTGCCCGCTTCCTATGAAAACCCTGGCACTGGTGAGAACGGAGTGTCCCCACGTGCTAGTAATTGTTGTTGTTGTTGTTGTTGTTGTTGGTGGTGTTGTCGTTGATGTTGATGTTGCTGCACGTTGTTGTTGTTGATGATGTTGTTGTTGGCGGTGGTAGTGGTTGTTCTTGTTGTTGCCGCTGTTGTTGTTGGTGGTGGTGGGCGGTGTTACTGCTGCCGTTGTCGCTGTGTTCGTTGTTGTTGGTGGTGTCGTTGTTATGGTTGTTATGTTTGTGGTTGTGGTTGTGATTATTGTTGTTGCCGCTATTGTTGTCGCTGTTGGTGCTGCTGTTGTTGTTGCTGCCGTTTGGGGGCTTCGGGGAGGCTGCTCCTCGCCTTGGTCATATCCCCTTTGACATGCTGACCAGCACGCGTGCCGGGAGAACTCGTGGGCTCCTCCTGAAGCTAATGTTAAGTCGGGCACGTCCCTCTACAGGAGGAATATTCAAGCATAGTCAAACCATAGTCGAGGGACGATTTCTTTGAATATTATTGAGCCATGTTTGAGTAGTTTTGACTATTTCTCATTTGTCGGCGGAATCCCCCCTGTAAGAGAACACGCCCGACCTACAGCTAATCTTTATGGTGTTCTGTGTTCTCCTGCAGGTTGGTTGGTGTCCAGGTCAATTCGTAGGCCGCGCCCGTTTGTCTCTTTTAACAAGGGGGAGGGGGGGGGTGGCCAAGTTCCTTGCGTCGGGTGGCTGACGCAGTAGCTGCGGCTGGCCTGCCAGAATCGAACCGAATTCTCAGCCCGCCCCCTCCGCATTGGCGCGCCCAGCCTTGCCGCAGGCCCTCCCGCCCGGGCTTCACCAGCCCTCCGACGGGGGAGTTTGGACCCTTCCTCGAGGAGGAGGGGGAGCAGGAGGAGGAGGAGGAGGAGGGGGAGGAGGGGGAGGAGGAGGAGGGGGAGACAACGGCCAAAGCCTTCTGTCGTGACTCTGTGCCACGACGCGGGGCAGGGCAGGGCTGGGGCCGCGGACTATGCTCCGCTCGTCGGTCCCGAGGAGCTGCTGCAGGACGCGGAGTCCGCCTTTGGCGAGATCTTCTCCGTGCGGGCGCCGCGCGACGTCTTTGCCGGGCGCGGGGGAGAGAAGGAAACTCTGTACGATCGGAATGGGTGCGGAAGGACAGGGTACGAAGACCGACTGCAGTTCCTGGCGATTTCGGGGAGGAGTCGTTGTAGGTGCCGCCGCGACAAAAGATCAGCCTGGCGAAAGACCCAACCATATGCAGTTAGAAGTAAAGCAGTTGTGAGTATCGTCTTCGGTGGAGCTTCCTATGCGGCCACGGCACGTGTCAGTGGCGTGCCGACATGGGTGCGGTGGTGCCATGCGAGCGCAGCCACTGGGGCCTTCGGTGGACCTTCATATGGGCCCACGGAACGTGTGAGGGGTGTGCCGGAACAGTTACATGCGGAGAGCAGAGGCAAGGAGGGGGAGGAGGGAGCTTGGCGAGGAGGAGGTGGGAGGGACGCGGGGCGCTGTCCGTTCAAAACGAGGACCCAATGCCACATGATGGGAAAATCGCCTGAGACATCACTCCGCCTGCCCACCAGCGGCCTCTGTCGGTTTGGGCTAACATTCGCTGTTGGACATTGTACCCATCTTTTCCGTACCCATTGGGTGTCCAAACCAATGAGGTCCGAGTAGATGGGGTCGACGGACCGCTCCGCATCTCCGATGTATCGGCGATGCGGTTCGATGCGGAGCCCGGATATCCCCACGCCGATGGCGCCAGTGCATCGCTAATGCCCCCAATGCGTCGCCGATGTATCGCCGATGCATCGCCGATGCATTGGCGATGAATTGGCGATGCCGCGCCATCCCCCGACCCCATCTACTCGGACTCCATGTCGGAGGCCTCTAGGAACTGACCGCCACCACCACTCAGGAGGGGTGCAGGGTCCCCCGACTTGCAGGAACCTGACCTCCTAGCGTCGCGCAACACTCACGTCGGATGGATTTTGCCACTTTTCGGTCTCTTGGTGCCCCAACGGGGCCCCGGGCCCGTCGAAGAAGTTTCTGAATGAGAAGTTGTTTCCGGGGAAGGGCTCCAGTCTTCTGGGGAGCCCCGTTGTGCAAAAGTCGCGACCTCGAAGGACTGGGGGTGCAGGTGTGCAGGGTGCTCCGCGAGAGTGCACCCACCAAACGCCTCCTGTTGACCCCGTCCTCTGACCCCTTCTCTAAGTTGCAGTAGTGTTCTCAGTCGCCTTGATCCCCTCCTCAGAGGCTGTCAGCACAATTGTTTCTGTCTCTTTCTCTCTCTTGGTCCTCCTTTGCCCTCGTTGTCTCCTCTCTGTCTCAGCAGCTCGCCAGCACAATCACAAGTGCTCGGGTGCATCATCGCACGAGACTTCCGTGGCACATGGGGTCCGGCAGGTTCGTGCTGTTCCGACGCGACGCGGCGGCACCCCAGCAGGTACATTCAAGCCTGAATGCCGCCAGCGGCCCAGAGTCGGCCGATATCGAATGCCCTGCGCCATCGGAAGGCGGCGACCGTTCAAGACTGAGCGGTTCACGCGGTGTGCAAGGGGGCGCGAGGGTGCCCTTCTCCAGGATGCGCTCCTCCTACTTATTGCTCCTGCTCCCTCCTTTTCTTCATCGATTTGCTCCCTTCCTCCACCTCCACTTCTGCACCTCCCCCTCCTCTCGTTTCTCGCAACTCCTGCTTCCACCATCCCTCCGCTCCCTCCTGTCTTTCTTTTTCCTCCTTTGTGAGTCGCATGCAAGTGCCCATGGGCTTCCGCAGCCAGCGGATTGACATACCTGACCTGCCACTTTCCTCCAGGCTCCTCCGTCCAGCCTTTTCTTCCTACAGGCTCCTCCCCCCTCCCTTCTGACTTTTACATTCCAATATTTATCCTTCTGTTCCTCCCGCTGCGGCTGCCGCTGCTGCAAGACCCTTCTCATTTCGAAGGGCCGATGTGAGCGAGTGCATTCCGCGTCCAAGTATCGATCCGTGTGGGCGGGATTGGCCGTTCGTCCCGAGTTCGCGTTTCCTGCATTGGCCCTCCCAGTCGGTTCTTTCTGTTGTCACCTTCTCTGCCCTCAGGCTGTGGAGTGGCGCTTCGTGCGTGTTGAGTGGCATATTCATCGGGCTGGCTGGCCTCATCACCCAGCCCTTTGAAGGCTCCTGGTCTACAGGGCGAAGGACGTCGAACTGGCGTGAACTGGTCTGCAGTCGTGCAGGTTCGCGTCGCGCCGACGCGGCAGTGACCCCAGCGCGGGCCGTTCAGGCTTGATTGTCGCCAGTGGTATGTGATTGGCCGACATCGTGTGATCGCTCAACGACATCGACGGCAACCGGTGGTCTGTGATTTGCCGCCATTGGTCTGTGGTCGGCCGACATCGTGCGTGCGTCTGTGATCGGCCGACACCGGCATCGTACGATTCACGCGGTGTCATAATCCAACTCACAGGTCGGCACGACACGAACCCGCTTTAGGAAGTGTGGTCCAAGGCAGCACATCGACTGGTCGTGAGCGTCGTTTCTGTGATAATCTGACCGCGGTGCCGTCCGCGGTAGCAACATGCCCGATGGCTATGCTAGCAAGCACTGCGATGGTGGACGACGCCAACGCATGAGGAAGCCCTGACAGCAGGCGTGACGGACGTTGGAGGAGGAGGGAGCGGGGGAGGGTCAGTACGAGGGTGAGGCGGATGTTGTCCTGGAGGGTGAGGAGGAGGGCGAGGAGGATGGCGAGACGACGATGGCCTGAACGATCGCTGCACAGGGAGGGTGGGGGGTGTTAGTCTGCACGGACGGTGATCGCGCAACAAACCACCACATTTGGAAGTTACAGCGCAGGTTTTAAACTGTTGCTAGATGATGCGATATCTTGCTGTTCTGGTTGGCGAGCTACAACCGTGACACGCGACGTGCTTTTTGCCGTCGTGTCGGGGTGTGTTTCCTGGTCCTCGTGGTGCTCCTCCCCCCTCTTGCCTTGGCTCTGTTTCCTTCCTCACCCGCTTCCTTTTCCGCTTCCTGTCCTTCTTGGGGAGCCCATGTGGCTCTCTTGAGCCACATTGGGTCTGTCTTAGGGTCCTGTTGAGTTGTCTTGGTCGGGGAGCCTCTTGGGGCACTCTTTGGCCGTCTCTGGGCCCTCTCGAGCCCTCTGGGGCCATCTTGGACCCCTGTTGGCAGTTGAGGGAGTCTCCTGGCGCCGTCCTGGACTGTTCCTTGACTGTTCCTGCGCATTGTTTGAAGGTCCCACGCTCTGGATGCGCCTCGGGCAGGACGAGAGTTTTTGTGTCCACGCCCGGACGTTTGCTGCTCTTTGGGTTTCCCACTCCACCGATGCAGGCAACTGTTTCGGTTTCTTTAACAAATCCATCCTGGGGTGTCAGAGGGGCCCAAAGCGTTAGACACATGTGACTTTCCCCAATGTACTGTAAGCAGGAATTCCCAGGAGCCCAAGTTCTGGTTGACCCAAAAGGGGGTCCAGCTACAAGGAGGAAGTGCTGGCAATAGATCTGGTGCAACATATATGTGGGTGGCAATATATTGGGGGCGTGCAATACATCCTGGGGCGCAGAGGTATTGCTGGATTTTCGCGCACAATGCATTAGTTGCAGTACGATGCAACAACTTTTTCCGGCGCAGTGCATTTGCGATACAATTGTCCAACATTTGTTGCACCATCTCCGTGCTGCCGGACCCCCTTCTGGGTCACCCAAACAAGTGAGGAGCCTGCTTGGGTGCTCGGAAGGGTGCTCTTTTGAAGGCACGCCTGCTCGCGCGCGGGAGCGCGCGGGCACGCATGCACCCGTCGCGCGCGTGCGTGCGCACCGAGGCCGAGCCTGCAGACTCGGGGAACTTTGGAGAGGCAACTCTCGTCCTCCTCCTCCTCCTCCTCCTTTTCCTCCTCCTCCTCCTCCTCCTCCTCCTCCTCCTCCTCCTCCTCCTCCTCCTCCCCCTCCTCCCCCTCCTCCCCCTCCTCCCCCTCCTCCCCCTCCTCCTCCTCCTCCTCCTCCTCCTCCTCCTCCTCCTCCTCCTGACGGGGGACAGTGAGAGGGGATGGGAGGGGAGGGGGGGGCAGGGCTGGAAGAGCGGGGAGTTGGGAGCGGGACGGGAAGACGGTGGCTGAAGGAGGCAGCGGGGGACGAGGAGGGGTCCCGTGCGCTTTTAGTGTTGGTGTCTTTGGTGGTGTCGCTGCGTGCGTTGCTTGTCGGTGGGTGCGCGGGTCGGAGGCGGCGTTTCCCCCCGTGGCTCCATGCATGTGGCCTCTTGTAATTTTGATGGGGTGCGCGAAAAAGCCTGCGTTGCGAGCAGTGCTCAGTGAACCAAGGACATGAGTACGAAATGTGCCTGGATAAGATTGGGGTCCTCTCTGTTCTGGACGTCTCTTCTGGACTTGAGGAGGCGGTGGCCACCACTGTGGTCAGTGGAGATGACGGCGTGGGGCCTGCGAGCGGCGGGCGCCTCCGTTGCCAATCTTCTGGGCACTCGAACATTGTGCAAGCCTAGACCTCGGACGTCACCCCCCAACGCATCGACCCCCAGACCTTCTGGAGAGCGCATCGACCAGGACTCCGAGGTGAACCTGGTCGTAGCGACAAGGAGCGTCCAGGAAGTGGCCAAACGGCCGAAAACTTGGGAGGGGGGGAAAGGGGAAGCAACATGATGATGATGAGGAGGAGGAGGAGGACCAGGAGGAGGAGGAGGAGGAGGAGGAGCAGGAGGAGGAGGAGGAGGAGTGGGAGGAGGAGGAGGAGGAGGAGGAGGAGGAGGAGAAGGAGAAGGAGTATATGAGGAGGACCCACACATCCCACGTCGCGTTTTTTCTACAAAGTGGGTTATCAGAGGTCTGTACTCCGACCTGGGTCCCAGAAAGGACCCTAAGAGGCCGAAAATAGTCAAACGTCTTCCGTCGTGATTTTTCTAGGTCGCGTGGCTTTCGACTGATACCTCTGGTGTCTAGCGGCCAATCGGGACAATCCGGGCACCTTTGGAACGCCCTCGGCGAGGCGCAGCTGTAGGAAAGCACCCCGAGGCTGGAAAACTCCAAGACCGACGGAGACGTCCAAGAATCTCGAACTGGCGTCGTCGCCGCCGCCGTCGTCTGCGGGAGGCTTCCGCGACGCTGGGGTGCCTGGCTGCTTTCGTGGCGTCGCGCTGGGTGTGGCCAGCGGCCTCTTCTTCGGGCTGACCGGGCTGTGCACCGGCGTGTTCCAGGCCGCCGCCGCCGCCGTCGCCGTCGTCGTTTCGTCGTCGTCGTCGTCGTCGTCGTCGTCGTCGTCGTCATTTTTTGTTGTCGTTCGAGATCTTCTGTCGTTGTGTCGGTTGCCGGAGGTTTTCCAGCCTCGGGGTGCCTTCCCTCATGCGTCGCGAGAAAGCACGACGGAAGCCTTCGGGCAGATTTCGGTTTCTGGGGTTCTCGCCAGAGGAGGAGGAGGATGTCAGGAGGGAAAATACACACACAGACACAACTAAACGTCGATTCCTAAGAAAATATAGGAAAATATGGGAAGTGGGAGGAAGACAAAAACACAGAAGATATAGGGAAAGATTGGGAATCCTGTTATTTCTGTCTACTTATTTGTGTGTCCCAGGGCCCCTTCAGGATGGAGGCATCCATGAAGTTCATAAAAAGGGCGGGGCACAGACCGTACAAGAAAGGCCGATTCCATACACCTCGTCGTCCGATGGCTCTGTTCGCAGGGTTAAGTCGGGCATATCCCTCCACAGGAGGAATATTCAAAGACAGTCAAAAATAGCCTGGGCACGATTTTTGAGTATTTGAATATGTTTCTTTTGATTTTCCTCCAAAACCCACCCGTCGGGGGACATGCCCGACCTTATCGCAGGGGTGGGGGGGGGCCGAGCACAACCTTCGACCGCGCAACAGGATTGGCCGCAGGGGGAGCGGACACGAGGCCTCATGAGGCTCACGGCCCACAGGGCCCCTCTTCTCAACCGGTTGCGCAATCCCCGTGCCCGATGTCCTGCGCGAAGCACGGCACCAGCGCCACGATTGCAGCTAAGCGCCACATGCAGAAGGCACGATGCCACGCTGTTTGTTCTTGACGACTCCGGCAGGCTTGTCTGCCCCCTGCAGTCACACATAATGAATTTTTGAGTGTCCCCATGGCGTGGTGCCGATCACCAAGACGCGATACCCAGAAGCGCAGTAGTCGCCCCCCCCGCGGCAGGGGGAGGAGTGGGAGGAGGAAGAGGAAAGATCGAGGATGGAGAGGAGGAGAGGGTAAAGAAAGAGGAACAGGAAGACGAGGAAGAGCATGGGGGCAGGGGAATGAAGTGCGGGAGGAGGAACTTCTCGATTCGCATCTCTGTTGGCTAGCCCGGTGAGGCACCCATTGAGATACAGGACAGCTGCCCCGGTTGAGGCCCAGCATCTTCAATTCTGATTAAATCCTCTGGAGACGAGGATCTTGAGGACCTGGGGCGATGCCAAGGGTGTCTGAGCGCTCGAAACAGTTGGTTTGAGGCCCCTGGTTGAGAGTTCTGAGGTGTGGTCTCCACATCTCAACCGGGCTTCAACCACCCTGATCTTCAGTCGAGCCTGTCCCTCTACAGGAGGAATATTCTAACGTAGTAAAAACAATATACGGGGATGATTTTTTGACCATTTTTGAGTATTGGCATTTTTTATTGTTTTTTTCTTCCAAAATCCGCCTGTAGGGGGACATGCCCGTCCTAACCCTGATCCAGGGTTTCAACCTGGTCTCAAGACAAGGCCTCAAGCTTTGACCAGGGGTCTCAATATGGAAAGCGCGCCAGTGGATGACCCTGAATACACAAAAGGGAGGTGTGCTCGCATCCCCCTCCCTCCCCCCCTTCAAAGGGGGGGTGAGATTTTCGAAAGAGGGGGTGCGAGGGTTCTGTACCCCCCCCTCCCCCTTTTGAAAGGGGGGGGGGTCCCCGACGACGGACCGGGACAGGGGGGGAGGGGGGGGGGTCCCCCACGACGGACCGGGAAAAGGGGGGAGGGGGGGGGTCCCCGACGACGGATCGGGGAAGGGGGGGGGTCCCCCTGTAAAAAAAAATGAACGCCCCAGGGGTCCGTTCCCGTTCCCGTTCCCGTTCCCGCTCTTTTTCCCGTTTTCTCGTCCTCTCTCTCTCTCTTTCTCTCGTCCTCTCTCTCTCTCTCGTCCTCTCTCTCTCTCTCTCTCTCTCCCTCGTCCTCTCTTTCTCTCGTCCTCTCTCTCTCTCTCGTCCTCTCTCTCTCTCTCTCGCCCTCTCTCTGTCTGTCTCCGTCCACCCTGAAGGGGGTCAAGAGGGAGGCTCCCGAAAGGCCGCGGACGCTTGGAGGCTCCTCGTTGGAGGCTCGGGCGTAGTAGTAGTAGTAGTAGTAGTAGTAGTAGTAGTAGTAGTAGTAGTAGTAGTGGTAGTGGTAGTGGTAGTAGTAGTAGTAGTAGTAGTAGTAGTAGCAGCAGCAGTAGTAGTAGTAGTAGTAGGAGTAGTCGTAGGACTAGTAGTAGTGATAGTGGTAGTGGTAGTAGTAGTAGTAGTAGTCGTCGTAGTAGTAGTAGTGGTAGTAGTAGTAGTAGTAGTAGTAGTAGTAGTAGTAGTAGTAGTAGTAGTAGTAGTAGTAGTAGTAGTAGTAGTAGTAGTAGTAGTAGTAATAGTAGTAGTCGTTAGTAGTCGTTATAGTAGTATTCGTAGTAGTAGTAGTAGTAGTAGTAGTAGTAGTAGTAGTAGTGGTAGTAGTAGTAGTAGTAGTAGTAGTAGTAGTAGTAGTAGTAGTCAGTAGTAACAGTATTAATCGTAGTAGTAGTAGTAGTAGTAGTAGTAGTAGTAGTAGTAGTAGTAGTGTAGTAGTAAGTAGTAGTAGTAGTATAATAGTAGTAGTAGTATAGTAGTAGTGTAGTCGTAGTAGTAGTAGTAGTAGTAGTAGTAGTAGTAGTAGTAGTAGTAGTAGTAGTAGTAGTAGTAGTAGTAGTAGTAGTAGTAGTAGTAGTAGTAGTAGTAGTAGTAGTAGTAGTAGTAGTGGTAGTAGTGGTAGTAGTGGTAGTAGTGGTAGTAGTGGTAGTAGTAAGAGTAGTAGAAGAAGAAGTAGTAGTAGTAGTAGTAGTAGTAGTAGTAGTAGTAGTCGTCGTCCCAGAGAGACACAGAGCTGCCCCCGCTCACCACAATAGCGACCCAAGACGCCCACGACGGCCTCCAGACAGTCTAGGATGCCTCCAAGACCCCCCAAGAAGCCGCAAAGCACCTGCCCCAGAGGTCCCGAGGCCCGAATCTCCGGCATGTTACAACGATTTGTTTGGTGGATTTTCACGAGTGCGCGTGTCCAGCTCCAGTGCAATCCGAAACGGCCCCAGACGCCCTTGACCAGGAACCTTCCAACACGGCCCAACAACAGGCCAAGCGGGCTGTCGCTCGGAACCACATGCTGGGGCAGCGATTTCCGTCTAGCAGCGGGTTGCTTTTTGCGTTCGATTGTTGACGCACCTGCGCGCGCCGAGAGGCCGCAATTCCCCGCGTTCCTCTCCTACTCCTGGCCCTGCTCCTCAAACTACTCCCTCCCCCTCCTCCCCCTCCTCCCTTTTCCCAGCGCTTCACCCACCCAGTACAGCGTTTCGTGGCCCCGTAGGGAGCCACACCGAAGGTCCCAGTAGGACAGCCCGCATGCGTCCTGAAAACCTAGTGCAGCGTTTCGTTGCCCCCTCCTCCGTTCTCCCTGCGTTTCACCCACCAAGTACACCCTTTCGTGGCCCCACAGGGAACCCCACCGAAGGCTCCAGTGGGACCGCCCGCATGCGTCCCGCACACCCGGTACAGCGTGTAGTGGCCCCATCCTCCCTCCTCCCTGTGTTTAACCCACCCAGTACAGCGTTCCGTGGCCCCATGGGGAGCCACACCGAAGGTCCCAGTGGAACCGCCCGCATGCGTCGTGGAAACCTAAGTTGTTTTTTCCCAACCATCCTGTGGTGTCGGGTCCTCTTTTTGAAGAGTTTCTTCTCCCCCTCTTCCCCCTCCTCTTCCCCGCCGCCCGCACGCGTCCCCCACACCCAATTTGGCACACCCCTCACACTTTTCGTGGCCCCGTAGGGAACTCCACCGAAGGCCCGAGTGCCATCGCTTGCATGCGTCCCCCACACCCAATGTGGCATTTTCGCCCACCTAGTACAGCGTTTCGTGGCCCCAAAAGGAGCTCCACCGAAGCCCCCAATTGGACCGCCCGTTTGCGCCCCCCACACCTAATTTGGCATTTTCACCACCCCAGAACAGCGCTTCGTGGCTCTATAGGGAGCTTTACTGAAGCCCCCAGTGGGGCCGCCCGCATGCGCCCCCCCCCCACACCCACTTTGGCATTTTCACCCACCCAGTACAGCGTTTCGTGGCCCCAAAAGGAGCTCCACCGAAACCCCCAATGGGACCGCCCGCGTGCGTCCAACACGCCCAATTTGGCATTTTCACCCACCCAGTACAACGCTTCGTGACCCCATGAAAAACCCCACCAAAGGTCCCATTGGGACCGCCCGCGTGCGCCCCCCATGCCCACTTTGGCATTTTTCCAATCACCCAGTAAAGCGCTTCGTGGCCCAATAGGGAGCCCCACCGAAACCCACAATGGGACCGCCCGCATGCATCACCCACACCCAGTTTGGCATTTTCACCCACCGAGTATACTGTTTCGTGGTCCGTAGGGAGCTCCACCGAATCCCCCAGTGCCACCGCCCGCATGCGTCCCCCACACCCAATGTGGCATTTTCGCCCACCCAGTACAGCGTTTCGAGGCCCCAAAGGGAACTCCACCGATCCCCCCAGTGGGACCGCCCGCATGACATTTTCACCCACCCAGTACAGCGCTTCGTGGCCCCATAGGGAGCCCCCCCGAAGCCCCCAGTGGTACCGCCCACATGCGCCCCCACATCCAACTTGGCATTTTCACCAACCCAGTACAGCGCTTCGTGGCCCAATGGGAGCCCTACCGAAGGTCCCAGTGGGACCGCCCGCGTGCGTCCCCCCACACACACCCAACTTGCAATGTCACCCACCCAGTACAGCGCTTCGAGGCCCCATAGGGAGCCCCACCGGCGCCCCCAGTGGGACCGCCCGCCTGCGTCCCCTACACCCGATTTGGCATTTTCACCCACCCAAAACAGCGCTCCGTGGCCCCATAGGGAATTCCACCGAAGCCTCCAGTGGGACCGCCCGCATATGTCACCCACACCAAACGTTGCATTTTTACCAACCCAATACAGCCCTTCGTGGCCCCATAGGGAGCTCCACCGAAGCCCCCCGTGGGACCGCCCGCATGCGTCCCCCACACACCCAATTTGGCATTTTCGTCCACCCCAGTACAGCGCTTCGTGGCTCTATAGGGAGCTTTACTGAAGCCCCCATTGGGACCGCCCGCATGCGCCCCCCCCACACCCACTTTGGTATTTTCAACCACCCAGTACAGCGTTTCGTGGCCCCACAAAGAGCTCCACCGAAGCCCCCAATGGGACCGCCCGCGTGCGTCCAACACGCCTAATTTGGTATTTTTTCACCCACCCAGTGCAGCGCTTCGTAGCTTCATAGGGAACTTCACATATGGCCACAGTGCTACCGCCCGCATGCGTCCCCCGCGCCCAGCGCAGCGCTTCGTGGCTTCATAAGGAGCTTCACCGAAGAAAATGTTTAGAAATGCGGTACCCGCAACTTCATATGGTTGGGTCCTTCGCCAGGATAATTTTTCATCCACCCAGTACAGCGTTTCGTGGCCCCATAGGGAGTTCCAGGGAAACTCCCAGTGGGACCGTCCGCGTGCGTCCCCCACACCCAATTTGGCACTTCCACCCACCCAGCACAGCGTTTCGAGTCCCCATGAGGATTTCCACCGAAGGCTCCAGTAGGACCGCCCGCTTGCGTCCCCCCCTCACACACGCACGCACGCACGCACGAACGGACGCACGCACGCACGCACGCACGCACGCACGCACACACCCACACACCCACACACCCACACACCCACACACACACACAAACACACACACACACACGCACACGCACACACCCACACCTACACCCACACCCACACCCACACCCGCACCCGCACCCGCACCCGTACCCGCGTATACACGCACGAACGCACGCACGCAAGCACGCACGCGCACGCGCACGCGCACGTGCACACGCACACGCACACGCACACGCACACGCACACGCACACGCACACGCACACGCACAGGCACACCCACACACACACGCACACCCACACCCACACCCGCGCCCACACCCACGCCCGCCCCCGTACCCGCACCCGCACCCGCACCACGCACGCACGCACCCACACACCCACACACCCACACACACACACCCACCCACACACACTCACACACGCAAGCGCACACGCACACTCGCACACTCGCACACTCGCACACTCGCACACTCGCA